AATTTTTGGTAAAAACTGCTAAACTATTTTTTTATTCGGTAAATTGCTTTTTATATGTATAATAATATGATTGTCTTATAAATATTTCCTGTTTATAAAGGTCTATATTTGGCTCTTAGAAAATACTTTCAGAAATGTTATGTAAGACATATGCCGGTGTATATGCAACAAGTAGACTGTAGTCTTAACTAAAATTAGAGTGATTCAGTTAGACAAGTTTGCACAACAAACCAGAATTTCCCCTCCTAGTTCCTCTAATTAGCTTCATACTCAACAACTTTAATTGATAGAGAAAAGACTAGAATAAAGATAGATCTGCTGAAGTCCTAAACCAAGGATGGCAAATTCAAATGGCTTCAGGAATTTGGAGACAAGTTTTTTTGTTTGTTTGTTTTTAGAGTAAAGCTGTGAAGAACAAGATAAAATAAAGAACAGGGACTATTGTTAACCTGAGAGTGTGTGCCCTGCCCAAACGCATGTGTATTTCTTTTTTCCTAAACATAATGCTTGCCAGGTAAAACATGTCTAAGTGCTGGCCCCAGCTCTCAGACTGATTAGATGTCAGTGGCTCAGATAGAAGATTAATAAGTATAGTGTGCAATGGAGAACAACAAGAATTAAATCATAAATTAGGCTACGCTTACCAATTCATACTGAAATTTCTGTTACTACCAATTCCCTATCTCCTTCATGCCTTTATCTATGTTTGACATCTTGCTCTTACCAGGAATATAAGTAAATACTATTTTATTTCACTAAAGTATTGACTAAATTGACAAATTAATATGAAGAATTAATTTTAAATCTGGTTGTTCATTATCAGAAGTTACTATTTTCTGATGTTTCTTTCTTTAGCTAAAATTATAAACATTTTAAAGTTAAAAGAATTCAACTCACTATACCATTATAGCTGCTGTCTTAAAAGATAGTACAATAGGACATTTTTTAGGTACTAGATCCTATACTTGCATTCTACATTTACTCAATAATAATATGGTCATTTCTACCATTTCAATTGCTAAAGGACTGTAAATCTTCAGCCCCATGTTTAACTAAAAATATATATATAAATTGAATGTTATCCCCTTCTTTAAATTCTCAGTTTTTTGATATTGTTTTTGATATGGTTTGATAGAGACAGACAGACAATGGTGAGATGGAACTTATTTAGGAGTATGAGATGTAACTGCCATTGCTTAAGACCCTGTCGCTCTGTAAATTGTGCTTTCTTTCTGGATCCCCTGTGGAGAGAGAACAGAATCACACAAACTATAACTTGTCTTTTAAGAAAGTCTCCAGAATAGAAATGTCACAATAATCTCCCACTGCACAGCATTTTAAATGTTTTTCTTTCTGATACATAATTGATGATCAGTAGCTGAATATAAGTCATCTATTTTTTTCTTCTTCATTCAACAATAATAGTACATATAGACTCTTTGTTAGGTGGCATGCAAAGTACTAGCATCTATTTTAATTTTTTAGTATTTATCTCTGTATTCATAACCATTAGTCCTGAGAAAATAAGAATTTTGACAATCAAAAATTTGCTTTTGTATAGAGACTAAGAATAAAATAAATTTTAAATCTCAACAAACTTAAGATTTAACTATTGAAAAGCATACTATAAAAAAAATATAGAAACATGCAAGACTCTTAGAATTGAATTCTAAAGTGTATAATTCGAAAAAATAAAACCTATTTTGAAGAGGTATCTTTCAAAGTATTCTGTAACTTTAGGAAGAAGGTGAGCTTTGAGTTGGATTTTCAAAAAGTATAGAATTTTGAAAGCCCAAGAAGACTGTACTAAAGGTATGAAAGGACTGATTGATACTATGAAAAAGTTGCAATTAAAATGCAATTAAATGTTGTGAGGAGGAAAGACAGAATATGGAGGATGTACCAAAACTATGGGAATAATGAGAGATGATTAAAAGGTGACAACATGGGATAAAATTTAGGAAGCTTTGACCATGAGGCAGAAGACAATTCAATTAACGATATGATAAGCAATAGTAGTCACTATATGTTTTCTGGTAGGTGTGTAAAATATAACAAAACCTGCCGTTGGAGACTGATATCATCAAATGGCTAGCATTTATTTAGGGCTACAAAGAGCTTCATATATACTAATTTATTATACTTTATCATATACTAATCTTCATAAATATCTATGAGATGACACTATTATTTTATACATTTTATAATTACAAGGCATTATATCATCTTCCTAACTCACCCCACCAAAAGGAGGAGTAGTTAATTTCCAAACCTAGACAATCTGAAGGCAGAAAGTGGATGATATGCAGTCTGGTGCTTTATCTACAATAGAAAGTATTGGAAAGTAAGAAGACCAAAAAGAAGAAAAGAAGGAAAAACTATGTAGGAAATTACTACTTTCAAAGAGAATTTATGACTCTCTTTTAGAAAGATTTTTGCACATTATACAACAAAAGACTCTCTGGTCTAGTGTGGTACAGTTCATAGAAAGAACTGATGGTTGATGAGATACTATAGCAGTTTGGATAGAGGAACTAAACTAGGAGAGTAGAGTATAAGCTTCAAAGTGTGCAGTTGAGTTACTACTAATAGAGATGTATATACCTTAGGAGAATAAAATCCAGAGGCTTTACAAATGGTTTGAAATGAACATCAGTATGTATTTCAAAAGTCAGAGTTCAGGTAGATTTTATCATTACTCTATTGATTACTGATAAAACTAAACAGTGTCTTTGCTTTCCAGAATGTTTGTAAGTAGCCCAGACACTA